GCACCACCACGCCCGACTTGAAGTAGGTATTGATGATCTTCTGGGTTTCTGCAGGATCTGTTGTGATTTCACCCTTTTCATTCCTAATTTCATGAATTTGAGTCTTTCCTTTTTTTGAGAACTTGGTTAATGGCTTGTCAGTTTTATTTAATCTTTCAAAGAACAGACACTTTGATTCATTGATTCTTTGTGTTGTTTTCTTAGTCTCTATTGCTTTACTTTGTTCTCTGATCTTTATAATTTCCCCCCTCATCTGAGTATTGTGCTTGACTTGCTTTTGTTTTTCCAGAAGCTTGAGGTTCAACATTAGGTTGTTTATTTGAGTTCATTCTGTTTTTCTGGTATGGGAATTGAGCACTGTAAATTTCCCTCATAGGACTGCTTTCATTGTGTCCCATAAGTTATAGTATATTGTACTGGCATTATTGTTTAATTGTAGAAACCATCTAACTTCTTTATTTGTGACCCATTGGTTGTGCAGGAACATTTTATTTAATTTCCATGTGTTTACGAAGTTTTTGTGATTTCTTTTGCTATTAAGTTCCAATTTCATTGCACTATGGTCTGAGAATAGGCACGGGATAATTTCAGTTCTTTTGCATTTATGTAAGCATGTTCTATGAGGTAGTATATGGTCTGTTTTGGAGAACGTCCCACGTGTTGCTGAGAAGAATGTGTATTCTGATGTTGTGAAGTAGAACACTGTAGACACCTACTAAGTCCATTTGTTCAAAGTTTGGTTCAGTTCTGGTATTTCTTTCTCATTTTTTTGTCTGGTTGATCTGTCTGTTTGTGACAGTGGGATATTGAGGTTCCTCTTTACAATTGTGTTAGTGCCTATTTGATTTTTATGTCATTAATGTTTGTTTTCTATAGTTGGGTGCACTGAGACTTGGTGCATATATATTTGATTATTATCTCTTCCTCTTGGATTGTTCCCTTTGTAAGGATGTAGTGATCCTCTTTGTCTAAGGCAGTTTTGGCTTGAAATCCACTTTGTCTGCAAATAGACTAGTTACTCCTTTTTTCCGGGTTCTTGTTGGGTGAAGTATTGTTTTTTATCCTTTGACTTTCAGTCTATGAATTTCTTTTTTCAATTAAATGTTTTTTGTATGCAGCATACTGTTGGATCTTGCTTCTTTTTCTTTTCTTTTCTTTTTTTGTCTTTTTGAGACAGGGTGTCACTATGCAGTGGATCTTGCTTCTTGATCCATTCTGCCAGTCTATATCTTTTGATTGGTGAATTGAGACCATTTACATTGATTATAACTGATATGTATTGATGTACCTTTTTCCTGCCATTGCCCACCTCCCATTTAATTACCCGGTGGATTCATTCTGTTAGGGGTTCATAAATTGTAGTTCTCTTTATCTCTATTTTATTTTATTTATTTATTTATTTTTGAGACAGGTTCTTGCTGTGCAGTTCAGGTTGGCCTTGAGCTCACTTTGTAACCCAGGCTGGTCTTGAACTCGCAATGATCCCCTCCTGCCTCAGCCTCCCAAGTGCTGGGATTACAGGCGTACACCAACACACCTAGCTCTATCTCTTTCTAGAGTGTCCTTCAGAACACTTTGGAGTGCTGGTTTGGAGATCCTGAATTTCTTCAGGTGTTGTCATGGAAGTATCTTAGTTCTGCATCATTTTTAAGTATAATTAGACATGCTGGGCTGGGGATGTAGCTCAGTGGTAGAGTGCCTGCCTAACATGCACAAGGCCCTGAGTTTGACCCCCAGTACCACACACACACATTTTTTTTTTTAACCACGGAGATCAGTTCCACATGTGTGTAGTGCTGAGACATTTCGGAGAAAGTGATTGTGGGCAGAGGTTAGAATCTGACAGCCACATTATTTACCATAGGCTAAATCTAGACCTTACAGAATTGTATGTGGGCTTTTTTTTTATAAATTGAACAGAGATCCTCTATTCTGTGTATCACCTTTTGTAAAGATGTCTGGGATGTTTCAGGACTCCGTGACCTTAGATGATGTGGTTGTGAACTTCACTCTGGACGAGTGGAACTTGCTGGATTATTCCCAGAGGGAACTCTACCGAGATGTTGTGGGGGAAATCTTTATGCACTTGGCCTTTATAGGTAAGAAGACAGTCTCTTTACTTAGAGAACATGTCTTTCTAGTCCCTAAGCGCTGTTCAGTGTGGGAAAGGAGTACAGTACTTTGGTAAATAAACAGTCTGTTGTGAACATAGAATCTAATATGTTCTCTCCTCATTCTAATAACTCAGTAATTTTTCTGGCTCTGCCTTCCAGGGGAAAAATGGAACCAGAACATTGAAGATTGGTACAGAAATCAGGGGAGAAATTTAAGGTAATTTACAGTGAAAAGAGGAAGCAGTGTCTCGCAAAAGAATATTAGAATGTCATGAAATTTTTAAAATAGTAAATCAGCTAGCCTCTAAATTTACCAAGAAAATTTGCACCAAAAATATGTATTTAAATGTGACATAGATGTCCAGTGTTTGCAAGATAGGAAACATTTAGTAGAGATTCTAAGTATGGATATCAGTATTTTATTTAGTAGACGCACTGAGGCCCTTTCACTGTGCACGTGGAAACAACTCGGACAAAAGTGAAAACGCTGTGCTTGCCCTGGTAACAGGGTAGCAGTAAATAAGTTAGCCTAAAATATGAGTAAGTCGGATTTGTTAGTAAGCAGACCATACTGTGTTTCATTTCTTGCAGCAGTCACACCGTAGAGAGCCTTTGCGAGGGTGATGAAGGTGGTCAGTGTGAAGAAACTTTCCCCCAGATTCCAGATCAGAACTCGAACCAGAAAACGCTTCCTGGAGTGAAATCCCAAGAGTGCTGTGTGTGTGGAGTAGTCGTCTTACCTCATTCATCCTCGTCTGACCCCCTCCCATCTCCCGCGGGACAAAAATTACGTGAACATCAGGAATCAGAAGGGAAACCATACACGTGTAGGCGGTGTGAGAAGGTTTTAAGCTGTTACTACCCTTTCCAGCGTGATGCTAGGAGTCACACTGGAGAGAAGTCCCACGAGTGCCGAGGACACGAGGAAGCCTTCATTCCTGTCGCCAGCCTCGGCGGGTATGTGATCGCACATGCTGGGGGGGGACCGCATAAATGCTCTGTGTGTGGGAAGGGCTTGCAGTACCCCAGTTCACTTAGAATCCACGAGAGGATTCACACTGGAGAGAAACCCTTTGAGTGTAACCAGTGTGGGAAAGCCTTCAGTTGTGCAGGTTCAGTTCGAAGACACCAAAGAACCCACACTGGAGAGAAACCTTACACATGTAAGGAGTGTGGGAAAGCCTTCAGTTCCCTCTCAGGCCTTCAGGGACATATGATGAGGCACACTGGAGGTGGTCCTCATAAATGTAAGGAATGTGGGAAAGTCTTTAACTCCCCCAGTGCCCTGAAAAAACATGAAAGAACTCACACGGGAGAGAAGCCGTATCCATGTAAGCACTGTGGGAAAGCCTTCATCTGTTCCACTTCAGTTCGAAAACATGAAAGGACTCACACGGGGGAGAAACCCTACGAGTGTAAGCAGTGTGGGAAAGCCTACATTTCTCTCTCGGGCCTGCAAGGACACATGATAAGGCACACTGGAGATGGGCCTTACAAGTGCAAGTTTTGTAGGAAGGCCTTTGGTTCTCCGAGTGCAGTTCTGAGGCATGAAAGCGCTCATGTTGTGTAGGATTCCTACGACTAAAAAGTATGGGAAAGCTCCATCTGTCTTCTGAGCATGAAAGACACACATAACACAGTAGAGATTCATCTGACAAACGCAGGGTATCTGAGGAAGCCGAGGAAACTGACTATTCCGAGTACAGAAAATTTCACATTGGAGAGAAACACTATGAATGTAAGGAATATGGGAAAGCTTTAGACCGTCAGAGTTTGTGTGGAGTGCCTGGGCTCGCTCTGGTAAAAAACCCTGTGAATAAAAAATGAAATGAAACTTATTTTCTCAGTTCCCTTTGATCTGTTTATTTTACTTTATTTTTTATTTGAGACAGGGTCTCACTGTGTAGTCCAGGCTGGCCTTGAACTCACTATGTAGCTCAAGTTGGCCTCAAACTCATGGTGGTCCTTTTGCCTCATCCCAGGTGCTGGGATTACAGGGTTGTGACATGATGCCAGGCTTCCCAGTTCCTTTTGAAAAGGTAAAATCATGAACTACTGGCAAACAATGAAACTTTTTATATTTGGTTTTTGGAGACAGGGTCCAGTTATGTAGTTCAGGCTGGCCTTGAAGTCACTATGTAGCCTAGACTAGCTTCAAACTCACTGAAGTCCTCCTGTCTCAGCCTCTCAAGTGCTGGGATTACAGGGGTACACTGCCATGCCTGGCTTTGGTAGTGTTTTTTTTGTTTTTTGTTTTTTTCTTTTTGAGACAGGGTCTTGCTATACAGTTCAGGCTGGCCTTGAGCTCACGTTGTAGCCCAGGTTGGTCTCACAATGATCCTCCTGCCTCAGCCTCCCAAGTGCTGGGATTACAGGTGTGCACCACCACACCCAGCTGATTTTGACTTTAGCATTTCAAGCATGCTGCAGTTGATGAGCCTCCATGAATCAAATGCAGCTTGTTGGGAAAAAGAGCTCCCACCTCTGGATCTGATTGTCTCCCAGGTTGAAGGTACAGCCCCCAGTAGCTGGGAATGGGTGAAAAATAGAGAAGTTTGCATCTCGGAGAGAAATCAGTGGAAGGAGAAGGCAGAGGGAGCCCATGCCCTTGGCTACAACAGTTTGCATAGAGTCTCTACCTCACTGAGCTGAGCTAGGGGCAATATGGTAGTCTTGTTTCAAATGCTATGGATTCTCCTTTTTACTGACTTTATAGATTCTCACCACGTCCTTGAGGTGCACTTGGGCAATTTATCAACACTTTTGAATAAAAACCAAGAAATTAAGCTGGGTGTTGTGGGTCATGGGAGGCTGAGGCAGGAGGATCATGAGTTTGAGCCAAGATTGGGTAACTAAATGACTTAGACTCTGTCTCAGAATAAAAATATAAAGTCAAAGGGCTGGGGGTGTAGCTCAGGGAGAAGGCCTTGGGTTCCATCTCTAGTACTGGGGGGAATACAAAAAGGTGGTGTGAAAAAAAAAGGGGGTGTAGCTCCATAGTTAGCACTTGCCTAGCGTGCTTGAGGCCCTGGGTTTAGTCCCTAGCACTGCAAAAGTCAAAACCCTCTGTGGTGCTCAGAGCGGACTGAAGAACCTAACCTAATGCGCTATTTAAACTGCCACAGAGTTTGGTGCGGTGTATTTCCCAGTTCCTCTCCTTTACACGGTGGAGAATTTGCGGTAGTAGCTATTCTGTTTCCTGAGTCATGAGAGTTCTTCACAACAAGCCCTTGTAAGACTGCCTCGCTTTATGCTGAGGGCTTGGGCTAGGGTCAGGTGGTTTCTTCATGGGGAGAGTGACCAGAAGAATGAATACATAATTGGAAAGTTGGTACTGTAGTCCCCTTCCCCTTGGGAAGGGAAGAGCTGGATGTTGAGTTGCATAAAATCTCAGAGACACCAGGGGTGTGTGACGGTTCGTTGTGTCCGTTTGAGTGAGACCGGTCAGCAGTTCCGCACTCGGCTGGAAGACCTGCCCCAGCGGGGCTTGTTGCCTGCGTGGTGTAGAGGGGAAATGGCCAGATCTTCTGTTACTTTGGAGGCGCGCTGGTGTTCGCCTTTACTTTGGATGTCATCACCCGGTTTCCCGGACAGACCCTTCACCTTCCGTCAGAGATGCTTCAGCCTTCGGCGGGCTCCAGCCTCCCACTGCAGACCCGCCCGCCTCCTGATACGGACTCGCGCAGCGAGGACACCGCAGGGCGCTGCAGGCCTCGGACAGCATCCTTTGGGATCCAGTGCGCAGAGATGCCCTGCACTCTTCCACGTCCCACTGGGCGTGGCCATTGTAAACCAACCTTGTAACTTTGTATCTATCTGCGTATCTTGTATTATACCTGTTCCTCTAGTAAACGCTGACTGACGGTGCTTCTGGGTTGGCAAGCACATTCAGGGCTGGAAAGGCCTGTTTGAGAAGACTTGTACCTCTCGCTCCCTGGCAGTTTCCTCGCTCTGTACATCACTTCTGTTTTGCTATTCCTGGGTTGCAACCTTTACAATAAATTGGTAGATATAAAGACCTGGGTGTGGTGGTAGGGGTGTCCAGCATGGCTGCCAGGGTTTAGCGCCGAGGCCTGAAATAAGAAGGGCTGAGGATGTAGCCCTACAAGGATGGGTACTTGCCTAACCGTAGGTGTGTCAGATTTGAAAGGTTAAATAACCCAATGGTGTTAGACGATTGCACACCTGGGTGGTGTTCAGGAAAACCGCACACCTGTTTCCAGAAGCGCGGCCATAGAGGACTGCTGTGGGAGGGTCAGTGGGAGAGTGCTTAGCAAGCACACTGGCCCATGGTTCATCCCCAGCACCAAAAAGGAAGACAGATCACAGATGAGGCCTGTAAACTGCCTGTGTTGAGTGCTTCGGTCCTGGGGAGAATGCGACTGGGGGTAGGCGGTGCCTGTGGTGGGCACAGCAGCCTGCAGAGGCCCGGATGCAAGTTCTCGGCTGCTCAGGTTTTCCCACCTCACTAGCTGGGCGTCAGCCCCACTGGGGTGCATCTGCTCTTTGAGTGTGGGCCTCACGCCTGAGGTGTGTTTCTCCAAATGTGGGTGACTTTGGCTGCTTCCCTTTCATTCCTTTGTACTTTTATTGTTGTGTTTTTTTTGAGACAGGGTCTATGTAGCCCAAGCTGGCCATGACCATGGGTAACTTTCCTGCCTCAGCCTCTCATGTGCTGGGACTACAGGTGTGCCACATCACACCCAGTTAACAGTTGTTTCATTTGTCGAGTTCCTGGGAGTGTCATCACCTGTAGTTAACTCCATGCAGCGAGCAGTTTCTTTTAAGGGGAACAGACTCTCCTGGGGCAGCCACTAAACTTCCAAAGCCAAGGAACTCTCAGTCCCTTGGATGCCAGGCAGTCTTCCTTCACAAGAAACATCGAAAGCGTCAGCTGTCTGTGTTGGGGTTTCCAGATCCGTGTTTGTGATGTTTGCATAGTGACAGCGTGTATGCCAAGCACAGTTCTGGGGCTTCCTATGACCCCGAGGAAAGCGAGGGCTACTGGCAGAAAAATAGGACATTTGTGTTTAGATTTTTATTTTTTGTTTCAGACAGAGGGTCCCCCTAGGTAGTCCAGGCTGCCTTGAACTCAGCAATCCTCCTGCCTCAGCCTCTGAGTGCTGGCTCGGAAAATCCCACGTTTGTGCTGAGAAAGCCCAGAGTATGTGCACAAGGCACAGGTGATGCTGCAAGGTGGGGCAGGTGGGCTGTCACAGTCAGCAAAGGCCCGCAGGACTGGACACTGGCGGAAATGTCTGGCATGGGAAACCTCCATCAGGTGCCAATAAGCCTGACGATCAGAAAGCGGGAAGTGCTCTGCAGTTGCTTAGATCTTCAGCGTCCCAGAGGTCGGTGTGATACAAGCTTGGTCTCTGGCATGTTACTACTGAGAAGTGGTCAAACCTTTAGTGATCCGGCCTGGGGGGGCTTCAGGTCACTGACAGCGTGCACCGTAAAGAGGGCGAGGGACCCCCATCTCTCTCGTTTCCTGACCGTGAGTCAAGCAAGTTTTTGTCATATCACACACCTCAGCTCTGATGTCTTGCGTTGGTACAGCCCAAAACAATGCAGCCAGTCGCAGACTGGAACTTTCACAACTGCAAGCCCCCAAACTGCAAACCTACTTACTTACTTTGCTGTCCTGGGGACTGCATCCTGGATCTTTACACTGAGCTCCATGCTAGCCCTTTAAATAATTTTTGAGACAGGGTCTCACTAAGTTACCCAGACTGGGCTTGAACTTGCAATCCTCCTGCCTCAGCCTCTCAGAGTGCTGGGATTGTGTGTGCCACCATGGCCAGCTTAAATCTTTTTACAGATTTATCTCATGCATTTGTCATAGTGAAGAGAACACACAGTACCTAATGAATACATGTAATGGCTCTGGTTTTACTAATTACCAAAGTAAATTTAACAAAAAATAACTTAAAAAATGGAAACACTACCAAAACTCATGAGGTGTGGCAAAGGCAGTTCTAAGGAGGAAGTTCACAGTAAACGCCTCCATACCCACAGATGGGTTGTGGTGTAGCTGCGTGTTAGAGAGTGTACTCAGCATGTCCAAAGCCTTGGTTTGATCCCTGGCGTGAAAGGAAGAAAGGAAGCAAAGGACAAAAAAAAAAAAAAAAGGGATGAAGAGAGCAGGGAGGGAGAAAATCTCTAGTAACTCAGCATTGCATATTAAGAAACTACAGGACCAGGGATATATCTCAGTGGCACAAGCACCTGCCTGGCAAGCGCAAGGTCCTGAGTTTGATTCCTGGTACCAAAAAAAAAAAAAGAAACTATAAAAAGGAGTGAACTAGGCCCAACATTGTAGAAAGAATGAATTTAAGAGGGAGGTGCACAGAAATAAATGAAGCAGGGCCTAGAAAAACAATAGAAAAGGTGAACCAAAGTAACACTTAGGTTTTTCATAAGATAAAAATAAAGTACCTTTAGACAGACTAAGGAAAAAAATAGGGAAGACTCGAATGAATAAAATCAGAAATTTAAGAGACAGTGCAACTGGTATCATAGAATACAAAAAGTGTGAGCTGCCACGACCATTATGTGTCAAAAAATTGGGTAACTTGGAAGAAAAATGGAATTTTATCTACGAAGACTCAATCATGAAGAATTAGAAAATCTCAGTATACCACGATATTTTCTTTTGGAGACATGGTCTCAATATGTATTTTAGGCTGGCCTTAAAGTCCTGGCAATCCTCCTGCCTCAACTTGCCCAGTGCTGGGATTACACGATGTTTACTATGAAATGTTATGCTGTCACGTAGTCAGTGATTTCGTACATCTCGGCTGTAATGAGTCTCTCGCCTGCATCCAGAGGCTACACGCAGCTGAGCAGGGTAGCACCGCTGGCAATCCCAGCTACTCAGGAGCGTGAGGCACACGCACGTTCAAAGTAACCCTGGCAACTTAAGACCCTGTCTTAAAATGTTCACATGATGATTAAACTGCCTAAGAGCTCATTCCTCAGAAAGTACCCCTTAAGTGACACATTTGTAATAGCAAACCTCAAATGCTTCCCAATAATCCAAACTCATTTTGTAAGGCTAGTATTGAGTAGAAACACGTCTAGTCACTAATAAAGACAATCTCATTTTTTTTTATACTGGGAATTGAACTCATGACCTCAGGCTTGCCAGGCAAGCACTTATGCTGCTGAGCTACATCCCCGCCCCCCCCCCGACAATCTCATTTTTATAACACGTTTCATGTGAGGTTTCTAGAGCATTATACATGGATTAATTTGCATCATATTTCCTGTATTTGTATGATTTCTCTTCAGCAAGGACCTTTTTTATTTTTTTTTTTTTTGCGGTACTGGGAATCGAACTCATGACCTCAGGCTTGCCAGGCAAGTGCTTAGACCTCTGAGCTACATCCCCAGCCCAGGGACCTGTCTTTTGAGTTCTTTACAGTACCAAAAACTGAATCTTGGGGCCCACACATGCTAGTTCAGTTCCACTGAGCTATATCCCACTTTTTTGAAAGTATTTTGTGTTTTTCACATTTACACAATTTCTATTCATTAACTTCACACATTTATAAGGATGCAGCTAACTAGAAGCCCTTCCCACATATGTAAGTAATGCCTTCACCCACTGAATTTGTTTTTTTTTTCGTCTTTCTGAGACAGGATCTCCCTCTGCAGTTCAGGCTGACCCTGAGCTCACTTTTTAGCCCAGGCTGGCCTCGAACTCGCAACGATCCTCCTGCCTCAGCCTCCCAGAGCTGGGATCACAGGTCTGCGCCATCACCCATTGAATTTGAATGGAGTACAGGACTGGAGAAATTTACTACTGGCTATATTCATCGGGTTTCCCTCCAGTATTTTCTTCCTTATATTTGAAATTCACTGCAAAAAATGCTTTTCCACATTCCCTACATTTGTAAAGTTCATCTCCAGTGTGTACAATCACTTCTTTAAACACTTTCAAGAGAAAATAAGGCCCTTATATATCCTTTGCATTCATTAAGATTTCTCTCTATTGTGATCTTTTGCATATCTGTAAATATAGAAAAAAACTATTTTTCTCACCTTTCACATTCATGAAGTTCTCCAGGATGAGTTCTCTCTCCCCTTTGAAAGGACCTGGACAAATGCAGTGTTTCCCACATTCTTTATACCTGTAGGGTTTCCCTCTAGCATATATTCTCAGCTGCACACGAAATACTCAGAGATCCCTGAAGCTTTACACACTGCTTACATTTACAGGGCTTTTTTCTAGTGTTTTCTCGTGTATTTGTTACCAACTTGGAGGAATGAATGCTTTCTCACTTTACGTTTTTTTTTTTTTTGGTTTTCCTCCGGTACCAGGAACCGAACTCACGACCTTGCGCTTGCCAGGCAGGCGCTTTGCCGCTGAGCTAAATCCCCAGCCCCTCACTTTACGTTTCTAAGGCGCATCTCCATTGTGCTTTATCAGAACTGAAACCACCGTACAAAAATGAATACTTTTGGAATTTCTTACATTCTCTCTTTTGTGAGTTCTTTCATGTTTTCAAAGGGAAGTGGGCCCACAAAAGGCCTGACACTGCTTTTTACATTTACTCTCCACTGACTCCTTTTATGAATTTAAAAGGCACCAAGGAAAAACACAGAAAAAAAAGAAAGAAAAAAAGAAATTACTTGTGATGCATGGTTATTTGACATTATTATTATTATTTTTTTTTTGGTTTTTCTCCGGTACCAGGAACCGAACTCACGACCTTGCGCTTGCCAGGCAGGCGCTTTTGCCGCTGAGCTAAATCCCCAGCCCGACATTATTTACATTTACAGTGTTTCTCATGAGAGTGAGTCATGTCTTCAAAGACTGGAAATGAATAAAGTTTTCCCCACGTATGTTACATCTGTATTTTTCTCCCCCCAGTGAATCTTTTCATGCATTTGAAAAGAACTGGGACAACGGAATGCATTCCCACATTCCTTACACTGGTAGGGCTTCTCTCCAGTGGGAGAGCTTTCATGAGTTTGAAAACCAGTACAACACTCAAAGTCTTTACCACATTGTTCACATTCAAACGGCCTCTCATGCGTGTGCGGTACCTCATGTCTTCTTAATGTACTGGGAGAAATGAAGGCTTTCCCACACTCCTTACACCCACAAGGCTTCTCTCCAGTGTATGTTCTCAGGGGTAGTTGAAATGTTGAGTGACAGTTGAAGGCTTTTCCACACTGCTTATGTCCATAGGTCTTTTCTCCAGTGTGAGTCTTTTTATGAACTTGAAAGGTACTAGAACACTTAAAAGTTTTATCGCACTGTTTACATTCAAAAGGCCTCTCACCAGTGCATGTTACTTCATGTCTTCTTTTTTTGTTTGTTTTTTTTCCGGTACCGGGAATCGAACTCATGACCTCGCGCTTGCCAGGCAGGGGCTGTGCCGCTGAGCTAAATCCCCAGCCCTCATGTCTTCTTAATGTACAGGGAGAAATGAAGGCTTTCCCACATTCCTTGTATCTATAAAGCATATCTCTTTTATGTATTATCATCTGTCTCTGGAAGCATTGTAGAGAAATGAAGGCTTTTCCACATCCTTTGCATGTGTAAGTTTTCTTTCCAGAATGACTTCCTCCCTGTATTTGAAGAGATTTGGGCTGGTGGAAAGCTTTACCACCGTTTTCACATTCGCAGCCTTTTTCTCCACTGTGAGTGGTTTCATGGATCTGAGATAATTTATGTGATATGAAGGTTTTCCCACATTGTCTCCATTCACAGTGCTTCTCAGCAGGGCAAGTCCTCTTATGTCTAAGAGAGGACTGGAGAAAACTGGAGGCTTTGCCTTGACCCTTACATGTACATGATTTCCAATAGTCACAGGGCTCGTGAGGTCTGATGTGCCTCATAAAGGTTGAACGGCGCGTGAAGACTATTCCACACACACAACATCCGTATGGTTTTCTTCTGGTAGTTTTCTTCAGATTAACATTTGGAATCTGGCTAAATGTTTCTCTACTTGGATTACTTTCTTTATTTCCACAGTCTTTTTCTACCATATAAGTGCTGGAAAAAAATGAGAAGGATATTACTAATGGCTTATTAATGATTTCATCTTTTTACTAGGAGGTACTAGTCCTATATTTTTAGGGAATATATAAATTTTCTGCTCTGTCTGAATGTTTGGAAGTGAATACCCTGAATGTTCTGCAAGGCCTGACCATAGCCAGACGCAATGGCCCAAATCTATAATTCTAGCTACTCAGAAGGCTGAGGCAGGAGAATTGCAAGTTCAAGGCTAGCCTGTGTAATTTCAGTGAGACCCTGTCTCAAAATAAAAATAAATGCTGAGGGTGGAGGATGCCTGTGATCCCTGTACTCTGAAGGCTGAGAGGCAGGATGAGCCTGGACTAGTGTGGGTGAGGCTATGGGTTCAATCCCCGTATTAAAAAAAAAAAAAAAAGGTTTCATAGCTATTATCAAAAACAATGATACGCATATTTGTGGTTTCTTGTTGGGGACCACTACAAAGTGGCTCTGGCAACTGGCTTTCCACGTTTACTTGTGAGCTGTCTGAAGCTTAGGCACTTTGTCTGACAAGCTAAGGCGGCAGCTGAGGACGTTTGGCTCCAACCCCAATTAACTACGAGGAGAGTGTGCAGTCTCCACACTCCTACAATAAATACCAACCTAAAGATAAGGTAGTTCTCCTGACTGACATAATTCTCCCAAGGTCCTGCGAGATTACTGCATTTTCTGGAGTATCCTCCTCCTTTGTTTGAAAACCAGATAAATATGGGCTGCCCAGAGAAGTCTTTGGCTAAACTCGGAGAATATTGAAGCTGTAAGAGAGTTAGTCCCTCCGGAATCCCTAAAATCATTTCCATTGTCTCATTTATTTAAGCCTTCGCCGTCCACTTGCTTGGGAGATTGCAGGCCTGATCAGCCTGCAATAACTTAGGGTTATTTAACCTGGTTTTTGATAGTTTCTGAACAGTTTCCAAATGAACTTATTTTGAAAATACTGAATATCATGTCACATTCAAGTAAATATTTTCAGTGAAAATTCTGTTCAAATAAATTTAAAGCTGGATGTGGTCCTATACATCTGTAATCCCTGCAATTTGGGAACCTCAGGCAGGAAGATCACAAATTCTAGGCCAGGCTGAGCAACTTAGTATAACCCTGGGCTAAAATAAAAAAAAAAAAAAACTGGCAGGGGCTGGGGATTTAGCTCAGCGGCAAAAGCGCCTGCCTGGCAAGCGCAAGGTCGTGAGTTCGGTTCCCGGTACCGGAGAAAAACCAAAAAAAAAAAAAAAAAAAAAACACCAAACTGGCCTGGGGATGTAGTTCACTGGTAGAGGTCTGCGAGGTTTAACCCCAGCACGAATACATACGTACATAAACTTAAGCTGCGCTTTTTTTGTTTGTAGCCTTTTACAGCTCCGTGACATTCCGAGACTGCCTCTCGGGATACCAATTTCTCCCGTGCTCACCTTACACAGTTCCCCTGGTCTCTGAGCCGATTTTTAATGTTCTGATCTTCCCATTTTTCTCCTGAAATATAGAACAAGAATAATCTTTATCAAATTATAGAAAAATTAGTAGTCTAAATTGTTAAGTAAATCAGAACAGAGACCAGCCCAGAAGCATCTCCAAGGAGACAAAGCAAGTTAGGTCTCACTATCGACCTGCACCTTGCTTAACTTGCAAACAGAAGCGAAACTTAGTATTTTCCCTTGTTTTCTTTCTCCTTCTTTTGTGGTACCGACGACTTCACCAAAGGCCTTTGTGCTGAGGTACACCTCTTTGCAGTTTTTTCGTTTTGAGACAGGGTCCCATTAAGCTGCTAAGTTGTCCAGACTGGGCTCAAATTTACAGTTCTCCTGTCCCAGCCTCCAAAAGTGCTGGGATTACAGCGGAGTACCACTGCACACCGCTAATTTCAATTATTTCTTATAAATGTCTATATTCCAGAAAAGTGAAATGGAAGCTCCCTGTTAGAAGACACTAACTGGTAGACAGGCACGGTGGCACACACCTATAATCCCAGCTACCTGGGAGGCTGAGGCAGGGGGATCACAAATTTGATGCCAGCCTGAACAACTTAGTGAGAGCCTGTCTCAAAATAAAATAAAACAAAATAAAATAAAATAAAGCTTAAGATGCAGCTTAGTGGGATGTTCTAGTTCAGTGATGGCGAAACTTTTAGAGCTTTCAGTGATACAGTCCGCTGTGGTTTGCTACCACTGCTCTAGGTTCAGTCAATTCCTAGTACCACACCCCACAAAAATACCCCACAAAATAAACATCAATTGGGCTGGGGGCATGGCTTAGTGGCAGTGTTTGCCTAGTATGTGCCAGGCCCTTGGTTCAATTTGCAGCACCATCAACAAAATAAAAAAATAAAATGAAAGACACCAACTAACATATTACTGGGGATATTTTTAGCTGGGTGAAGTAAACAAGCCTATAGTAGAATATCAATCAGTCAAATATTTCTTTTCTTCCATGTTTTCTGTATAAAACCTTCCCTTTGTTTCCTTGGCAGAGCTGGAACTATCTCCAGACTGGTCCTTTCCAACTCAGAAACTGCTGCTTAGTCAAATAATTTTAAGTTACACTGTGCCTTAGTGTACTTTTGACAAACCCTACAATGAGCTGTGACCATATGTGGTTTATCTCATAAACATATCATCTTTCCATAGCCAGAAACTGAAATAGCACCCCCTGCTGGGTAAGAAACACTGCTCTTCCTGAAAGCACGATGTCACCCTTACCTACAGAGGCCAGGTTCCGGAGGGTGTCCAGCATCACCTCTCTGTAGAGCGTCTTCTGGGCAGGGTCCAGCAAAGTCCACTCCTCCAGGGTGAAGTCCACAGACACGTCCTCTAGGGCCACTGAGTCCTGAAATAGCCCAAATTTGTATGCAAGAGGACAAGGGGGACGGGCCTAGGAATCTATACGCAGTTCACAAGGTTATACACAATTCTGTGGCCTTCAATAGCTACCATGTGATTCGGTCACCAGAACCCTGACCCCTTCTCCACACTCTCTTCCTTGTAAGCTCCATAACACACGAGCACGTGGGCTCATCTCCACATTTTTACTGTGGTTGCTACAGGTTTTTTGACTGTCAAATGGTAGAGTCCAGTTCCACTTGGAGAAATGAGAGAAATGCTATGCAGTTAAACAAATTTTAAGGCCACTGATTCCTTGTGAAAAGAACTCTCATCTCACTTCTTATTACCCAAATTACTCAGCACCCTGTGAGCCACAGGGTCAAACCAGGATTAGGTTGTAATCACCAACAATAAACACTGAAAAACTACACATTTTTCTTTCTATTCCCATCATTACACAAAAGGGGCCCCAGTCGGGCGTGGTGGCACACACCTGTAATCCCAACACTCGGGAGGCTGAGGCAGGAGGATTGCTGTGAGCTCGAGACCAGCCTGGGATACAAAATGAGCTCAAGGACAGCCTGAACTGCACAGCGAGACCCTGTCTCAAAAAGACCCCTCCCCCCGACACACAAAGAGGCCCAGCTAGCCATGTTTTCCTGAAGACATCCACACTGAATAACAACAAAGTCAAACAAGAACAAAAGAGAAAACAAATCTACACAGGGCTTTCACCTTCCACAAAAACTAACAAGATGGATGGTACATCTAAAAGTAAAACTATCAAAGCTTATAGCAAATAACACAAGGGAAAACCTACACAACTTTAAATTCGGTGATACAGTTTTTTAGATATAATACCAAAGGCAAGATCCATGAAAGAAAAAAGTGGTAAATTTGATTTCATTAAGATGAAAAATATCTGCTCTACAAAAGACAATGTTAAGAAAATAAAAACATACGCCACACACTGGGAGAAATTATTTATAAAATTCTTATTTGATAAAGGGCTGGGATCTAAAATAACCAAAGAACTCTTAAAAGTCAACTACAAAAAGACAACCAGCTGGGAATGGTGGCACACATTTGGAAGGCCAGCACTCTGGGAGGCTGAGGCATTAGAAGAGTCACAGCTGGGCCCAAACTGGACAAGTCAGCAAGACTCTATCTCAAAAATAAAAGGGGTTGGGACTATAGCTCAGTAAAAAGGCTCTTGGTTCAATTCCTAGTACTGAGGGGAAAAAAAGACAACCCAATTAAAAGTGGGCCAAGGATCTGAACAGACAGCCATCAAAGAGATACCACATACCCAGGAAAACCTTGGGTTGTGAGTAATTTGCTCTGCAAAACAGCAAACACTCCTAATAAAAACTTTTTTTTTTTTGGTTTCTTTGAGACAGGGTCTCACTGTGTAGTTCAAGCTGGCCTTGAACTTGCAGCAATCCTCCTGCCTCAGCGTCCCAAGTGCTGGGATTACAGGCGTGCACCACCATACCCAGCTAATAAATTTTAACTTGATAAATGAGTGACGTCTTGTAATATGGGTATGTGATGCCAAATGTCACATGCTCATAGCTGAGCCAATGGGTCTTCTCTTTCACTGAGGGGTTGCGGGTGATCACCTCCTAACAGCAAGAGGTTATGGAAGAGATATCATCTGCAGAGGAGAAAAAGGCAGGAGAACCCTTCACTTCAAATGAGATTAGGGTCATATGTAAAATGTGGGAAGCTGCAAAATTTTGTCAAAAAGCACCGCTCAAATAAGGCTGTAGCAGTGCAAGTAATAAATTTACTTAACAATACAATGTCACATTTCTGTGAAATCCTCAAGGGTGGGGGATATAGCTCATCAGAGCTGTGCCTGCCTGGCAAGCCTGAGGTTATGAGTTCAATTCCTGGTGCCAAGAAAAAAAAAAAAAAAAAAAAAAAAAAGAAAGAAAAAAAAATCTGTGAAATCCTCAAAAGGAGGCAAAAGCAGGTGTCACTGGATAGGTTCCTTGTTAAAGAAAAGGATTTCATTGAGCCAACACAACATGTTTTTTTTTTTTTTTTGTACTGGAAATCGAACTCAGGACCAGGCAGGCAGGCGCTGTGCTGCTGAGCTATATCCCCGGCCCTCACTGAGCCAACAGATAGCAGTTGATTCCGTCAGTAATAGCGAAAGTTGTCCTACACAACAACTCTCCCCTCGCTTGTCTCCCTCGTACCAGCAAGACCAACCAAGAAACCCTCAAAACTAATGTCTACAAGCAAGGTCAAGGAAACCACAACGTCAGTCTCAGGAAAAGCATCACTCCTCAGCGCCCCCGAAGTGTGTGTGCATGTAGCTTTCCCAGTGCTCTGCAGCTTCTCCCAGTGCCAAGGGCTCCTTCCCAGCTGGGTGTGAGCAGGCAGTACCTCTAGGGGGACAATGCCCAGGAAGAACTGGGCCTTCTGTTACTTCCATTTACAGGCTTAAGGTCACTGGCCTTGGGTCTATGCTACCCAGTAACGTGGCTCTGGACACCACTTATACCTTCAATGAAACAAACCAAATGTTTGAAGAACCCAACAGACTCACTCAGCCCCCTGTTTGTGTATAAATAAGGAAGGAAAACTCTAAGGGCTATTTACTGCTTTAACAAGATAACTCACAAACACCTGTTCCTTTTTGAAAGTGAAGTAGTGGTAGAGCACTTGCCTAGCAGGTAGCAGGCCCTGGGTTCTCTCCCTAGCCACACACAACAAATGAAATAAGAAATGAGGTTGTCAGTCAATTCTTATTTCCATGGCAAGAAATTGTTCGGTACACAGTCGTATTTAAATACTTAAGGCCTTAGACGGCCTAAAGTATTCAAATTCCGTTGGAAATCATCAAAACAGGCCTGAGAAAATTATTGCATATGCTTGGGGGAAGAAGAAGGGGAAACAAAGTTTTGAACAGATACAATGGAATAATACTGGAATTCTGCACCTCCCCCAATCCATGTCTTTGTTGCTTCTTTAGAAATATACTATACTGGGCTGGGGATACAGCTCAGCAGTGCAGTGCCTTGCCTGCCAAGCCCGAGGTCCTGAGTTTGATTCCTGGTACCAGGCCAAAAAAAAAAAAAATACATTATACTGGCTGGACTGGTGTGCATGCCTGCAATCCCAGCATTTGGGAAGCTAAGGCAGGTCACTGAATTCGAGGCCAGCCTGGGCTACACAGTGAGTTCCAGGCTAGCCTGAATTGCATAATGAAATCCTTTCTCAAAAAGAAAAAAAAAAAAAATTTTTTTTTTTTGTCTTTCAAGTTTTATTAACTACCTTTAAATTTTTTATTTTTAGTTTTTTGAGATAGGGTCTTGCTGAGCAGTCCAGACTGGTCTTGAACTATGTAGGCCAGGCTGGCCTTGAGCTCACAGCAACCCTCCTGCCTCAGCCTCCTGAGTGCTGGAATTACAGGCATGTGCCACCATGCCCAGTTCCAAGCTTTATTAGTTGCATACGTTTTACATTGACTGAGAAAATGAGACCCAATAACTGAACAAATATTTTCAATGTGACAAAGCCAAAAGGCCATGACAGGCTGGAACTGTGCAGAAAGGGCAGATCACCCAGTTAGGTTTGCAAAGGGCAGCCATACCCCAAAGGGCTTTTTCAGGATGTCTGCCCAAGAAACATACCGGCAGGAAAGGCACAAGGTTTTGCTTTGTTTGCAGTACTGCACTGGGGATTGAACCCAGGGCCTTCACACTGAGCTCCATCCCTAGCGCTTTTTAAAAGTTTTGAGGCAGGGTCTTGCTAAGTCACTAAATTGTCCAGGTTGGGCTCAAACTTCCAGTCCTCCTGCCTCAGCCTCCTAGAGAACCGGGATGACAAGTGTGTGCCATCATACCCAGGTAGGCATGAGGATTTTACAGCACCTGCTGTAGTGCCTGATGGCTGTCTGCTTGCATTTTATGTAAAATATTCTCAAACAAAAATAAATCTTTTCAAAGTCCAAAAGCTACTCTATCCATAGACCTGTGGAAAAAATGGTAATTAAAATAGTACAAGTTGTTTGAAACGCAGTATAGAGGGTTACGAAATGACATTGTTACAACAAATTTAAAAGAGCTACTATTGACTTTTGTTTATATTCTAGAATCAGACAGCGCTTCATTCTATAAATCAGACTAAGTGGTCCCATTAGCTGGAGCTGAGGAGTTTGCGTTTATCAGCACAACAGAACAGAAACAAAGTTTATTTCCTGAAACAGGGTCTCACTATGTAGCCCAGACTGGTCTCGAACTTGCAGCGATCCTCCTGCCTCAGCCTCCCGAGTGCTGGGATTACATTACAGAGGTGCGCCACCAAGCTTGGGCTCTGTTCTGACTTTTTGGCAAGAAAAACACACAGGGTAGTTTGGGCTTGGTGACACAGAACTTCCGCTTGTGCATCTCCACTCGGTTTGGTCCGCAGGGCTTGGGGCTGCAGCTTCGACCGAACCAACGACCGATACAGTTCAGGGAACAGGACGGACGCTGCTGCTGGCGCGTGGAACTGGGGGTGGGAACCGGAAGTGGGGGATGCGTTGCTACCCCTCAGAGCGAGGCGGCGGCACATAAGACCCGCTTTTCGCATATCTGGGAAACTCGGGGCGATCGGGTGCCCCCTGGGGAGAAAGGGGAGCGGGGACCCAGGGGCCCGAGTCCGCCCCGTGTCCCTCCCGCCGTCCCCGCTGTCGGCCCAGCGCCGCCCGCGGCGGAGGGGACCGAGGATGGAGCGGCGCCCCACTCCGGAGCCGATGTGATTCCGTCAGAGCCACTTCCGGCCGGCTCCAACCAGGCCCCGCGCTCACCATTCCCCGGGTTCCAAGTGTCACGGCGTTCCCTCGCAGAGCCACCCGAGGTGAGGTGCAGACAAGCAGCGAGCCAAGCGCCCGGAGCAACACCTTGAAGCGCAAGGTCCACGTGCCTTAGGGCAGCGTGACCCCACCCACCAGCCCTGCCACGCCCTCCTATTGGACTACTAGTGCGGCTCCACCCCTTCCGCCTTGAGTGACAGCCGCTTGGAGGTCCGGTAGCTGAATCCATCCGGCTTCTACCAGTGTTCCTCACCTTGGTTCCGGTTGCGAGGTGTACCTTTAAGCCGGTTTTTTCCAGACCCTCAGGCTGGACACTGGTGTCCGCCTGCAGAACGTAGTGGAGGGGAGGCGGGTGTGCGCAGGTAATTCCAGACTGAGTTTCCGAGGCCCTTCATAAGCGACCCAGGGAGGAACAAGTGCAGAGCCAGAAGGTCCCCAAGTGAAGACAAAGAGAAACAGAAGGCTCAGATGTCCCTAAATGGTCAGCCACTTCGCCTAAGGCTGTAAAGCCACTCATCAAATCGTGACCCTTAACAAAGACGCTTAAAAGTGACTTCATCGTAGCCCAGCATGGTAACACACATCTGTCATCCCAGCACTCCGGGAGGCTGAGGCAGGAGGATTGCAAGTTGGAGCCCAACCTGGGCAATTTAGCGACTTAACAACAAAGGCTGGGGATCAGTTCGGTGCGCGGGCAGAGGCGCTTCTGAAATTAACTTCAAGGCATGAGATAAAACTGTGAGGTTTGTATTTCACACTGGAAGGGAATTTATTTTAGATCAGATTTTGCCTGTCTGCAGACCGCTCCCTTCCCACCAGGGCTCCGTGTGTGCTAGGCAAGCGCTGTACTACTGAATTAAACCCCAGATCCCCTTGGTCACTTTTATTTGTTTATTTATTTTATTAATTAAGTTCATTGGTACATTTTAGGTATAAATAATGATCACATTCATCACAGGGAATTTGTATCTGTACATGATATAACTTGTTTCTTTTTTCTTTTTTTTCCATTCTCCTACCTTCCCTTAAATCTCTCTTCCCCTCCTGATTTACAAAAACTTTGTTTCCATGTTTTCCTATTCTCGTTTTTTTCTCCTCCCTCCTTCCCTCCCTTCCTCCCCCTTTCCCTTCCTTCCTCCCTACCTTCCTTCCTTCCTCCTTTCCTCCCTTCCTTCTCTCCTCCCCTCCTTTCCTCCTTCCCTCCTCCCCTCTCCCTTCTCCCTATTTCTCTTTCTCATTTGAATATTTTCTTCCTGTTTCACAGTATCGTACATTTCGGTCCTTATTTGCACTTTCGGTTTCTCACACAAGAAACAAGGTGGTATTTACACATATGTGTCTGACTTATTTCACTTAAGAGTATGGCCTCAAGGCTCATCCATTTCTAAGTCCACCCTCCTGCTTCCTATCATCTGTCTTTTATTTTGCTCTTGAAGTGACTTATTCCTTGGGTTTCTTATGTAAGAGAAAACCGTGTGACACTCAACCTTCTGGGTCTGCTTTCTTTCACTTAGCATTATGGTCTCAAGGTACGTCCATTTCCCCACAGGTGATTCACAGTATGTGTGTTTGTAATCGAGTTCTTTAATGGGTTGCTGCCTGGGTATTAAAAATAGACGAACACATCCAAATGGCCCAGGCTAGTGGCCAGAAATAAGAATTTAGAGGCATTCTTCCCACCTGAGGCAGGAGTTTGAGGGGTTCCCAGCTTCCCCTCTGCATCCTTTTAAAGGACCATGGAGGCATCTGTCCTTAGAATTAGTGACCCAAATCCCATTCCCTTGTGCAGTGCTGGCTGCTCTCCCTTCAGTCCCTGTCTCTTCCTGTCTTACTCCTCATCCTGCCTCACATGACTCGGGAAGGAGGACTTCCCTCTCGATAAGCTCTGCCCTCCCTGCTTGGTGCTGGGAGAACGCATAGCCACGTGTAAAAGAACGAAGTCGGGCCTGTACATCACCCCACGTGCAGTAATTTACCAAAATAGACCAATGACCTAGACATAAGAGGTAAAACTCACCTAATATCAAAACCCACATTCAGGTCTTGGCATATAATTCAGTAGTAGAGCACTTGTCTAGTGTCCACAATATCCTAGCTTTTATCCCCTCCACCATAAAGAGATCAACAACTCTGACACTCGGGCCGGGGATATAGCTCAGCAGCACAGGGGCCTGCCTGGAAAATGCAGGGTCCTGAGTTTGATTCTCAGTACAAAAAAAAGAAAACAAATGAAAAAATCCAGCACTCAAGAGGCTAAGGCAGGAGGAATGCTGCAAGATCCAGTCCAGCCTGGGGTACATAGTTCAAGGCTAGCCTGAACTACACAATGAGACCCTGTTTGAAAAAAATTCCAGAAGCCACCAACCAACTAACAAAAATTCCAGAAGCCACCAACCAAGCAAATAAACAAAAGACACTATCAAGAAAGTGAAAGCCAAGTGTGATGGTGTACACCTGCAATCCTGGCACTTAGGAAGCTGAGGCAGGAGGATCACCTTGAATTTGAAGCCAGCCTAAAGTACATAGTGAGAGTCTGTCTCAAAGAAGAAAAAAAAAAAAAGAGAATGAAAACACCCATTAGAACTATTGGGCACTGGTGGTAGGAAAATACTGCAGCGTGGAAAAGCATGGTAATTCCTTATAGAATTACAGAGTTACAGGGTGTACTAGTGGATTCTTGGTTGTTTGTTTATTTTTCCTGTTGCTGGGATAGAACCCAGGGCTTCATGCCCCACCGCCAAGCACCATGCCTGGCCCTGCATTAGTCAGCCTGAATCACTCTTAAGGGAAACCTGGCTGCTTAGAAACTAACGTGAGCTCTATTTGGTGGTCCCATTAGTTTGGGTTTCTGGTGAGGGGAACACAATGACAGGAGCTCATGGAGGAATAAAAAAAGTCAGCTCAAGCCAGGAAGCAGAGAGACCCAGGTGCCAAAATCCCCTACTCCCAATGACCTAGGGACCTCTCACTAGACTCTGCCTTTTCATTATTTGTTTGTTTGTTTGTTTGTTTTTGAGGTGCTGTGGATTAAATCCAGGGCCTTTACACTAAGCTACATCCTCAGCCTTTCTTTTTTGAGAGAGCATTCTGCTAAGTTGCCCAGGCTGGGCTCAAACTCCTGCCTCAGCCTCCTGAGGAGCTGGGATTTTAGGTGTGGACCGCTGTATGTGGTTCCCGCATCTTAAAGGTTTACAGCACCTCACAATATAGCCACTCTGGCAGCTAAGCTTTTCCATGTGGACCGCATCAAAAAAACCTCATGAAAACAACAGGTATGCTGGTAATTTAAGGCAAGGACTTAAAGAGATATTTGTACATTTGTGTTCATAGGAGCATTATTCACAGCAGACAAAAAGTGGAAGCAACCCAAGTGGCCATCAGGCAATGACTATGCCAACTGAATGTCAATAAAACATTATTTATCCTTAGAGAAGGAAAGAAATGCTGGAATACACTACATTGATAAACCTCGAAAGGATAAACCTGGTAGTGGATTGACAACTGGCGGTCCACTTATAACCCCCAGCTGAGCTGAGTATGCGTGGTGCTGGGTGTGGGGATCCACTTGAGGATTGTTGCCAGCAGCTTAAGAGGCAGACATGGGGAAGAAGTGAGGCTGTTGGGAGCTGAGAGAGCCTGTTGGGAGCAGGTAGAAGCTGTAAGGAGCTGTTGGCTCTGTTGGAGGAGCTCGTCGTGCTGGCTTTCCTGATGAACTTGGCTGTTTTCATCCTCTGAGGAGCTTGGGACCTCCTTGTTGCTGAGAATGGCTTCGGCTCACTTTGGGGGAGCTCTGGTCCTCATTTTAAGCAGCACTTCCTGGCTGTGGAGGGGAAGAAGGTGCACAGCTCAGTCTCCTGGAGATGCTTGCTGCGTTGGCTTTCCTGATGGGAACTTGGCCATCCTGATCATTGGAGGAGCTCGGGACCTCACTGTTGCT